TTAATTTTAATATGCTGCTTGATTCTCTTTGCTAGTCAGGCATACTGTAAGACATCTCCCTATGAAGCATTCTTCCTAATAGAAAGTTACTTGAAATAGATAGAAACAATAGATAGATAGATAGATAGATAGATAGATAGATAGATAGATAGATTTTTTTTCTTCAAGGTTATCTGAACAGCACTTATTGGCTAATATGTGTGTTTACAAGCATATGGAGATAGGTGTGTATGCATAAATGTGTGTACACATATATTTGTGTACTATAAAATACTGCACTAATTGGCATATGCCATCCCTATACATATATGTGTGTATATACATATGTGCTATTTTTAAAGAAAAAATATATTTCTAGTTTCCAAAAAATCATTGCATAATTTCTAACAAAAGAATTTTTAGAAAGTCTTCCACTTCTATTCCATACAACATTGGAACAACATACCAAAAATATCAACAATAAGAACAGGCTAATAACAACATAAAAAATATGCCATTTAAAAATAACTATAGGGCTGAGAAGGTGGCTCAGTGGTAGAGCGCTTGCCTTGCATGCATGAGGCCATGGTTTGATTCCTCAGCACCACATAAGCAAAAAGAAAAAAGCTGGAAGTGGCGCTGTGGCTCAAGTGGTAGAGCGCTAGCCTTGAGCTGAAGAGCTGAGGGACAGCGCCCAGGCCCAGAGTTCAGGCCCCATGACCGGACCCAAAAAATTAATTAATTAATTAGTTAATTAAATAAAAATAAAAATAACTATAATGTCAGCTTTTTACTCTCCCTTTTTCTAATTTCTCATTTCTTTTCTTTCCCTTCTCTTTCTCTCTGGAATAATTTGTTCCAAGGCCATTAAGGGCAATAGAGTGCACAAGGCCTGAATGTGCTGCTCAGAGCCAGAATGAATGGATTTACAGTTGGCCCAGCACAAAGAACAGGAGTCTAGACAAGAAAATCATAAAAATATATAAAAAGAATAAGGAAGTTCAGTTTTTCACTGTCAGACAAGAGAATTACAAATATTGAAAGGGAACAGGCTTAAAGGAATGCTGTATACTGCATTGGAATAGAAGATATCAATGCAACCTTTAGTTTTCAGCACAGATATTAATAAAATAAGTAAAATAAATATTGGTATAGAAATATATGTATTGCTATTAACCAGCACTAATGAGTTCTCAGTGTTCTGACACCCAATAGGAATTAGGAATCAGCGATCTCCTTTTCCTAGGTTGACAATGGAGACCAACTTAGCTCTGTTGATTTAAATAAGTTAGAACTAGCTGCACTTCTAAAAGTCATAAGCTCATTTACTCTGCAGATTGTAGTGCCTGGAGACCTTCTCCTAAAAGCATCCTTGGAGAAATGGCTGAGCCCAGGTTTGGAGTGAAGTAGTCCACAGTACAACGAGAGTATCTAGTACCAGGAAGTAAGGCAAGTTCTTAAATTCTGAAGACAGAACAGAGCCAGTCTGAAGAATTGGATGAATCAGAAATTACCACAGACAGTCTGAGCACCAAAGTAAACAACTTATCAACAGCCATTATACAAAATAAGAATTTATGAGTCCACAGGATATAAATGACGTGCTGATAAGGATATGGATATTTACACAGTTCTCAAGGACAACCCACCTGAAAATTCTAATTAATTATAAATTCTAATTAATTTGGAGTGGAAAAAGCCTTACATATGTAATCTTTATCAAATATTGAAAGATGAAACCATCAATTATGGAATAAATTGCTGTAGGAGTCATCTGGTAGCATATAAAGAGAAGAGCTCAAAGTCACATCTGTAATCATTTCCTAAAATATAGGAATGAATTAGCATTAGATAAACCTAGGCAGAGCATCTTTTTACAAATTAAAATGTGTGTTCCACAATGCTTTATAAGAAATGTACTCATTACCTTGTTCATGTGATTGCAACCCCTCTCTGTACAGTATTTTCACCAAAAAAAACTTATTAAAAAAGAAACGATCTTCAAATAAACAACTGCCCAATAAATAAGTGGGCTAAAGACTTAAAGAGAAACTTCTCTGAAGAGGAAAGAAGGATGGCCAATAGACACATGAAGAAATGCTCAACCTCTCTAGCCATAAAAGAAATGCAAATCAAAACAACATTGAGATACTACCTCACCCCAGTTAGAATGGCTATATCAAGAACTCTAATAACAACAGATGCTGGAGGGGATGTGGACAGAAGGGAACCTTACTGCATTGTTGGTGGGAGTGTAAACTTGTTCAACCACTTTGGAAAGTAGTATGGAGGTTCCTTAAAAGACTCTACATAGAGTTCCCCTATGACCCAGCAATCCCACTTTTGGGCATTTACCCAAAAGTTTACAAACAAGACCACACTAAAGCTACCAGCACAACTATGTTTATTGCAGCATTATTTACCATAGCAAAGATATGGAACCAACCCAGATGCCCCTCAGTAGATGAATGGATCAAGAAAATGTGGTATATATACACAATGGAATTCTATGCCTCCATCAGAAAGAATGACATTGCCCCATTTGTTAGGAAATGGAAAGACTTGGAAAAAATTACATTAAGTGAAGTAAGCAAGGCCCAAAGAAACATAGGTCCCATAGTTTCCCTTATTTGCAATAACCAGTGTATGTCTGAGTCTAGCAGAAAAGGTCAGATAAGTTGATGTTAGGGAAATGAACCCCAAGATAAGTATTCAAATTTTTTTTCTTTCATGCAATTTATAAGATGATTTCTTTGTTGTTTTGTATGTCCCTCCTCCACGGTATAACCCATGCTTTCACGGTATTTGATGTTAGTATAATTTGTGGAGGGGAAGGGCAAAAAAAAAATCGTTTAACTATGGATACAGGTGGACCCATTGCAACAATGAGATGTACAAGTCGTTATGTTGAAAAATGAACTTTACAACTTTGGTGGGGGGGAAGGTTCAGGTAGGGGGGACAGAGGGTAGGGGGTATGGGAAGAGATAGGAAGGGGAAACAAAGGAGGAGGCAACAATGCTTGATAAGAAATGTACTCATTATCTTGCCCATGTAATTGTAACCCCTCTGTACGGTATTTTCACAATAAAAAAAAGAAAGAGAAATTCAATAAAGATATAAAAATTATGAAAAAAATCACATTAGAACTCTAGAAGTAAAAAGTTCAATTAAGAAAAATACTTAGCTTTGGAATTGTCACTATTAAAAAAAAACCTTTGTAAAAAGAAACTGAAAAAAATGTGTGTTCTATTCAAAAGTGTCAATGATATACAAACTCAAGGAAAGATGCAGAAACCACTCAGGATCAAAGTGGGTTAATGAAAATTAACAGCTAAAAAAGCACAGACTTTTCGACCTAGAGAACTTTTATAAAACACATTAAATGGAAAAACTATTAAAAACTAAATTTCATCTGAGAATCAATTATATCCATGCTTTGCTTATGAAAAATAAACAGTAAAATATTTAAGATTTACAAGGAATAGTATCAGCCAATATTTCAGTTTCAAGTTTTTTTTACTACAACCTGAATTTTTTCAGTGATTAAAAATATAAAAATAACATAAATATGGTTTTAAAACTTAAACATATACTTCTGGGAAAGTGAAGTAAATACATGTTTTCATACTCTTGTTACTAAACATAATTGTAAACCTGGATATTGTATAAGGCAAAATAAGATTTGGAAAGAAAGGGAACAGACTGGATACCCAGGGTACACAAGAAAGGAAGAATTGGACAGGAAGTAATCTCCGTTTTTTGAAGACTTGAAGTTAAAGATACTGACAATGAGAAAGGAGTTGAAATATAGAAGTTTTGAAGCACTACTCTAGCCAAATGACCCGAAAAGAACCAATCCGGAAAAGTGACATTTTTTAGGGAGTAATTTCACTGCTTCAGCTAAACAGAAAACAAAACTCACCATACCACATGAGAAAAGTCAGACAGGGAGGCTCAGACTTTCATTTCTGCTAGGCACTAACAACCACCCAGGAGTTATGGTGTCAGTAGAAACCACATGTGAAGTCTGCCTTCCTCCCTATCCCAATCTAGAAGTAACTAAGAACCTTCTATCTGCTTGATAGTGAAAGATCAGCACAACTATGTTTATTGTAGCATTATTTACCATAGCTAAGATATGGAACCAACCCAGATGCCCCTCAGTAGATGAATGGATCAAGAAAATGTGGTATATATACACAATTGAATTTTATGCCTCCATCAGAAAGAATGACATTGCCCCATTAGTTAGAAAATGGAAAGACTTGGAAAAAAATATATTAAATGAAGTAAGCCAGGCCTAAAGGAACATAGGTCCCATGGTTTCCCTTATTTGCAATAACTAGTGTATGTCTGAGACAAACAGAAAAGGTCAGATAAGTTGATGTTAGGTGAAAGGAACCCCAAGATAAGTATTCAAATGTTTTTTTTTTCATTTGATTGTTTCTAACATATTTATAAGATGATTTCTTTGTTGCTTTGTATGTCCCTCCCCCCATGGTGTAACCCCTGCTTTCACTGTACTTGATGTTGGTATAATGTGTGTGTGGGGGGGGGGGGGGGAAGAGATGGGAAGGGATGGGAAGGGGAAACAAAGAAGGAGGCAACAATGCTTGATAAAAAAATGTACTCATTTTCTTGCCCATGTAATTGTAACCCCTCTGCACGGTATTTTCATAATAAAAAAAGGAAAGAAAAGTGAGGCCAGATGAATCATAATGTTATAACATCCAACAGTAACTAATAGCCTCCATTTCCTACATTGTCAATGGAGACAAGAGAAAACTTCTGCTGCCTCTTGGTAATAATAAAATATGGTACCTTTGTCACTTGCTAAGACACTAGAGTGAATAGAATGTTTAAGGAATGAGATTTTCCCAGGATTCAATTTTAAAAAATCACTCACAAAAGCTGAGCACAGTTAGTTCATGCTGATAATTATACTAGCTCAGGAGGCTGAGATCTGAGGATCACAGATTAAAGCTAGCTTAAGTAGAAAAATCCAAAGAAGTCTAATCTCCAATTAACTAGCAAAATTAATTAAAAGTAGGTGGCAATGCATTAAGCAGATGGATGTTGTCAGGCCTAAGAGCCTCTTCCATCTTTCAAAGAGAGTGCTAACCCTCTCTCTTTTTATACACTCGGGCTCCATGGCACTGGCTGAAACTTTCTAAATAAAGATCCAGAAACACAACAAATCAAAGAAAGGCTGCATAAAATGGGATTGCATTAAATTGCAGAGATTCTGCATGGCAAAGGGAATAGTTAGTAAGATAAATAGAAAGCGCACAGATTAAGAGAAGATTTTCACTAGCTATACAATAGACAAGAGCTCATATCAAAAATATATCTAGAGATCAAATACAGTGAAAACAAGGGTTATACCATGGGGAAGGAATATACAAAGCAACAAAAAAAATCACATGGTACCTTATTAGAAACAATAGCAAGAAAGAAAAAAAACACTTGTGTCCCTATCTTGGGGTTCATTTCACTTAACTTCATCTTATCTGGTCATATCTACATAGCTTTTGACTTTTTCTACTTTTCCCAGACATATACTAGTTAATAAGGGAAGCTATGGAACCTGTGTTTCTTTAGGCTTGTCTTACTTCACTGAATATAATTTTTTACAAGTCTTTCCATTTCCTAACAAATGGGGTAATGTCATTCTTTGTGATGGAGGCATAGAATTCCTATATATATATATATATATGTATATATATATATATGTGTATATATATATATATACATATATATATATATGTATATATATATACCACAATGAGATGTACAAGACACTATGCTGAAAAATGAACTTTACAATTTAGACAGGGGTGGGGGGGAGTAGTTGTGGAGGTGGGAGGGAAGGGATGGTAGGGGAAAAACAAAGGAGAGGCAATAATGCTTGATAAGAAATGTATTCATTACCTTGCTCATGTAACTGTAACCTCTATGTACAGTATTTTCACAATAAAAATTTATATAAAAATATATATACTTAGAGCTCAAAAAGTTAAAACCCTCAATAACAAATCCTCAAAGAAACAACCACCCCATTAATAAATGGGCTAAAGTATTAAAAAGAGATTTCTCTGGGGAGGAAAGATGAATAGCCAATAGACATATGAAGAAATGTTCAACATCTCTCGTGATAAAAGAAATGCAGATTAAAACCATGTTGAGATTCTACCTCACACTAGTTAGAATGGCCCTTACCAAGGTAACAAGTAATAACATATACTGGCAGGTATGTGGCCAAAAGGGAACACTTCTATTCTGTTGGTCAGTATGTAAACTGGTTCAACCACTCTGGAAAGCAGTATGGAGGTTCCTCAAAAGACTAAACATAGAGCTTCCCTATGATGCAGCAATCCCACTCCTGGACACTTGCCTAAGTGACCACACACAAGACCACACTAAAGCTACCAACACAACTATGTTCACTGCAGCATTAGCATTATTATTGCTAAGATATGGAACCAACTCAGATGACCCCCCCAGTAGACGAATGGATCAAGAAGATGTGGAATTCTATGCCTCCATCAGAATGAACGACATCACCATTCAAAAGGAATTGGAACAACTCAGAAAAAATCATATTCAGTGATGTAAACCAGACTCAAAGAAACATAGGCTCCATAGTTTCCCTCAATTGTAATAATTAGTACATGTCTAGGATATAAGCAGAGGATCACAATAGCTCAATAGTTATGTACATATGACCATATAAGATGATGCTAATCAAAATGAACTCCAAGATATGGAAACAAGAGAGATTTTTTTTGTTTGCTTTGTTTTGTTTAATGTACTGTGTGAAGTTATTTCTTTTTTACTTTCATTTTTTGCCCCTTTGGTTTATACTGTTGTCACTGTTGTTGTTGTTGTTGTACCCTGTGCCTTTATCTGATTTGGAAAAGGAAAAAGGAATAATAAAATGGCATGACTCAGGACAAAGGGTGAACTAATGAAACAGCAATACTCACAAGATACTATGTTGGAAATGAACTTTACAACTTGCAGTGGTGGGAGAGGGAAGGAATCAGGGGGAGACAAAGTGGGAGAAAATGAGGGAGGGCATAACAATGTTTGACAATGTTACCTTACTTATGTAACTGTAACCCCTCTGTACATCACCTTTATAATAAAATTAAATCAAATTAAAAAGAAAAACCATATAATTTCAATAAAAGCAAAAGAAATCTTTTAAGAAAAATAAAACATATTATTAGTAAAAAAAATAATAACAATAATAATAATAATCAGAAGTGAAGGCATATCTCAAGTGTTAGTAACCTAGCCATGGGCAAATAAGTGAAACAAAAGCACAAAGCCCCTATGTCCAAGCCTCGGTGCTATTTTAAAAATACCTATAATACCAACACCTAGGAAATCTCAAATTGTTTTATCAAAAAAAAATTCAATAAATGCCAAAATCATGATCACAGACGAACTACTCTGAAAAATACAATCATGATCAATTTGCTTTAATAAACACTTCTATGCATGCATCAAGTGAAAAGAAAAATATAAAATGCAAACCAATAGAATAACAAATGTCAAAAATTAAATATAAGATATAAATAACAACTGAATAAAAATTTTGGTAAGAAAATACAATACAATACAATACAATAAAATGGATAGGCTCAACAGCAGAACAAGGAGAAAACCAAGAAATCTGGAAGTAGATTAGACATCAAGCAAGCTGAAAAACAGAGCAAATGATAGCTTGTTTACAGAATGATATTAACAGTTAGGATGATAGTATATTTCTAATGAGAAACGATGGAGGCCAGAAGGAAGTAGCAGAATATTTTTCAGGTGACAAGAGAAAAGAATGGTCATCTGTCAACCTGATACTGTTTAAAATATTTTTCAGGAATCAAGAAGAAATTGTGATATTCACAGATGAAGAAAAGCAATGTGAATTTTCCCTCTGAGCAATTACCTAGGAAGGGGGGGGGAGGTCATGAGGAAGTCAAGATAAGAGAACTTCTATAAACTAAAAATAATACAGTAAAGAAACTTCCAAAGTTAGAAAGAAAGGAGGAAATAATGTGGTAAAAATAAATATGGCAATAAGCTTTTCTTCACCTCTTAAGTTCTTAAGTTATTCTTGTTGGAATACAAATTATATTCAGTTGTATATAGTTTCTAATATATATATATATATATATGAAAATCTTCAGACAATTGTATTGTGAATAGAGAATTAAAAGGAGTATAAAAGGTTTCAAGTGTTCTATATTTTATTTCAACTTTTAAGGTGATAATATTACCAGATTGTGATTTGATAAATAAGTAGTATACTGCCTAACAACCACAAACAAAACTGAACAGATATATAAATCTAAATGCTCTAGCTAAATCAAAATAAAATTCAAAATTTGTCCAACAACACATAAGATACAAGGAAAATACAGGAATTAACAGAGAAAAAAATAAAGAATATAGTATCTAAGTCTTAATATGCCAATAACCACATTAAATTTAAGTGACCTAATTGCACAAATTAAAAAAGTAAAGGTTGTGAAAAGGTATATAAAGTACTTTTTTAAAAGTTTTTATTGTCAAGTGATATACAGAGGGGTTACAGTTACATAAGTAAGGTAGTGATTGCGTTTCTTGTCTAACTTGGGACCAGCTTCCTCATTTTTCTACCATTTTCCCTCCTCCCTGGACCTCCCCCCAAGATATACCGATCATTTCCATTTCCAACATATTGTCTTGTGAGTATTACTGTTGCATAGGTTCCCACTTTGTCCTTTGTCTCACCATTTTGTTGTTTCCCTTTCCTTTCCTAGCTCAGATAAACATGCATACAAAACCCAGGGTATCAAAGGAAGTGACAACAGAGGATAAACCATAAGGGGAAATAAAACCCAAAAGAAAAAAAAAATCACATAGTACATTGAGAACAACAAAAACAAAGAAAAACCTCTGTGTTCAGGGCCTAGAGTTCATGAACTGTCTCAAGTGAACTGAGTGCTGGTGGCTCATGCCTGTAATTCTATCTAATCAAGAGTCTGAGATCTGAGGATTGAGGTTGAAGCCACCTCAGGCAGGAAGAGACTCTTATCTCCAATTAACAAGCAGAAAACCAGAAGTAGTGCAGTGGCTCAAAGTGGTAGAGTGCTAGCCTTGAAAAGAAGAGCTGAAGAATAGTGCCCAGGTGCTGAGTTCAAGCCCCACAACTGACAAAAAAAGAAAAAAGAAAAGAAAGTCTCATGTGAAATGCAATGCTATAGGCAGATCAAAAATCATAAGAGACTTTTATAAAATGTATAAATCATAGGAAAGCACAAATGGATGTAATAACGAAGTAGAAATTGAAGCAGACTATTAAAGATAGAGAAAATAACATAAAGGTGTCAACTCCCCCCAAAAAACATACTAATCCTGTAATTCAGTAAGTAACAGAAGTTCAAAGTTGTGATATAAAAACTGACAAATAAAAAATCAACACATTTGCAATTACAGAGAGAGAGTTCTATGCCAATGCTAACAATTGATAGAACAATATCAGAAAATATCTGGAAATCGAAATTAAAAATATAACATTATTTATAATCACTAAAATAATGAAATAGTTTTAAAGATAATAAATATATAAGATATTTATGTTAAAAATTTTAAGAAAAATTATAAAAACTTGAAATAAAATGGGTGTGGTAAAGCATGCCTATAATCCCAGCATTCAGGAAGCTAATGCAGGATGCCAGCTTGGGCTACATAAGCAAGATTCTGTCTCACAAACAAACAAAAATAATTATAATAACTAAAGATAAAACATCTACATAAATAAACTCCATGTCCTTGGATTGAAAAATTCAAAATATCATAGCTGGCGATTATACTGGAGCGCTTTGCATATTTCATGAAGTTCCAAACAAAATTATGGTTAAGTGTTTTGCAGATACTGGCAAGCTTACTATAATATTTATACAGATATACATAAGACCAAGAGTGCTAAAATAATTATGAAAAAGAATAAAGTACCGAAACCACTCTATCTGGTGTTAAGAGTTACTAGTCATTAGAATGGCACTCATATAGGTCAATGTAGTAAGAACAGGAAGCAAGAAAAACTTCCACACAAGTCTTCCAGTTAATTTGTTGCAAAGGCAACAAATTCAATAC